GAACATTTAATGCTTTGTAAGGCTATGAGGGTCAACTTGGTGGCTAGGATTTGATGTCTTGGCCGGGGAGATGAGGCCACGTGTAAATTGATCCAAATGTCATTATTCGACTTGTAACACTATAAATACCCCAACATGTAACACAAAAAAGGGTAATGAAAACTTCTCATACAAAATCCTGAATGAAAAACTAAACACTTGGAAATATATTGCTCTCTTTACTACGAAAATTACAACTACAAATCTTGTTTTTTATCGATTGGATTCTTATACAATCGTGTTCTATATATCTTTCCAGAGACCCGAACGTTGACGTCTCGTGTAGTGAGCTCCTCCCACGTTCAGATTTGGAGCCTTCCTGACTGTTCATCGGCACACACATGTTGGACAAAGCTTACACGTGCACGAGTGGGCCCGGCATCTGTTGGCAACATTTTTTGGGGGCAACAGCAATTATCCCCGTTTGGGACCACCACCACGGTCACTACACCTTTCACCACACCAGCAACAAATCCCAGCAAAACCAACCACCACCATCAAACCAAAATCAACCACCAAAAATACCACCCACCACTTTCCTCACTCCTTCGCCATTTGGACACAACCTCTGATTCAAATTTATGCAACACTATTTATGGAAAGTCTCGCTTGCCCATTTAAAAGTAAAAAAACCTAATTAATGGTGCTGAATCGCCATTTAAAAAGGAAATTGATGAGCCAAACATAGTCAAACCTCTCTTGCCATTTGGTTACTTGATTGGTATGGAGTTTTTGTTACCATCCTGCTATGAAATAAAAAAAAAAATTCACCAAAATCAATTTTAGCCCACCTTAAAATTAAACAAATTAATGTGAATTCTCTCTCTCTCTCTCTCTCTCTCTCAAAACTTGGTTTTTTAGCAACTGAAATGAAGAATGTCAAAATCGGTTGGTTTTGGTTTGATGGTGGTGGCAGCGGCGGTGGTTTACGGTGCGACTCGTGTGAGATGGGTGGCAATGATCAATCGGCCGATGGTGGAATCGATGTTGCTGTTGGCTGGGAAAAGGGATAGGGTAGGGTTGGGGCTTGAAGAAGAGAAACCTTTTTTTTTTTCCCATTTTTTTGATATTTTTGTTTATTTATTTAGCTCATGTTTGTCTACCATTATTCCAGAAAATTATTTGCTACATTAAGATTCTTCACCACACATTCACCAAATAAAATATTTTACACACGCCCCCAGGGTACATCTCCAAGTGGTAAAAGGGGAAGATAGAAAAACTCTAACTTTGCTTGAGGTTGCCTGTTACGTTTTTTCAATCGCAAGTGTACGATATCGTAACAAGTAGTAAATTAGACATTTGAGTCTGGATGATCGTTCCCACGAGAACTATACTTTAGCCTTAATTTACTT